CGCACAAGGCGTTCCCAGAGCTTGTTTGCGCACAAACTGTTGAACCCAAAACCGCCACGGAGACAAAGGGTTCTTGGCGAAGCTTCTCGTGCGCCACCCTGTTTAGCTGAATATCCGCTCTTTTCCCTTGACGCGTTAAAAGCGCAGTGTATCCTGGCGTCACTCGTGTGCTTACAAGAAAACAGCCGTCCGACGACACATCGCAGCGAAGAGATCGAGCATGGGGAATTATTCCGCCGCCGTCGCTGCTGCCAGAAGAAGAGGCGGGGAAGGAGGAAATGACTCCCCGCAAAGTATCACTCTGCTTCTTTCGTGCATTCATCGATCCGTCCTCCAGGGAGTTAATAGACGTCAGGATACTGGAGCCACCCGTGTCCACCATTCCTATCGTTCCAAAATCACAGCGGCAGTGCCGCATGTCGCTGATGGGGTAAGAAGTGGGAATGGAGAAGCTTCCGGCTATAACCGCCTGCCACGCGTCCTCTGCTGGTGAGCTTCTACCACGCTTTTTACTCCGGAGAGATGTCGTCAAAGCCTTGCGTAAGTCTGTCACTACAACCGTTCCACAGGAGTCCCCCAGGCCACAAACCACACGAAAGCTATCCTCCAGGGCACAGCATGACAGGATGCCAGCGCGTGGAGGAGCTGCCCGAAATCTTCCTTGGGCAGTCCGACATGCGGAGGCCCGCTGGGGCGCATATGTATTTACGAGTAGCACACCGCCTGGATCGCGCCAGTCCATAAGAGAAACTTCGCCGGAGGAGAAACAGACCACGAGGGATTGAGGTCCCCAGCAGTCCATACACGTGGCGTTGGCCGCAGTACGACCGAAGTTGAACGCATTTTCCTTTTCCAACGAGTCCAAATTGAGCCGATACACGCTTTCACCTGACAGAACGGACACTGTGGGCTCAAATTCGCTGTGGCGTCGCAGTCGCAGCAAAATTTCACTGCTTTCATCGGGAAGCAGCATTGTTGAATTGACATGATGCCAGTAACGCTCGTGCAAATCAATCACAGAATTTTTTTCTCTTGGGCCAGTATCCATAAAATCATTGGAGTGCACACCACCCACCAAGGAGAAACGCAGCAGCGCCTCCTGTTCATACATATAAAATGAATAAGAGCTAGAAATGAGTTGCCGCGCCTCCCGCAACTCCACCCGAGCCTCGTCGATGTGTAATGCGAGAAGCTTTCCATCCAGTTCGGGAGATGCTGAAAGAAGACATATGTCACCGCTCATTTCGTTGCTTTGCTCAGCGTCGAGTATAAGGGAAGCGTGATCACAGTATGGATGTGTTGAGACACACATTTTCGTACCATCCTCTGCAGAAAGACGCTTCTTTGACGGCAGGCCTTGCAGGGCACACTGAAGACGCCACATGTTGACTACTGCGGTAAAACACCACCCACCTGAGCTAAGGAACCAAAACGGCATCCGCAACAATGGCAGCACATATATATATATATATATATGGAGAGAGAAGGAAGGAAAGAAAGCAGGGAGGAAGAAGAAGAAGAAAAAAAAAGTGGCTGGCCGGAGAGGAGTAGGAGAGAAAACCCTACCCCTCTTTTCCTTCCTCTCCATGGGAAACAACACGCGAGATCTTTACCACCACCACCACCACCACCACCACTGCAGAAAAGATAAAAACGGTGAGAACAACAGACAAAATGTTACAAATCCCCATCGTACTTCAGGTCAAACAACAAGAAGAAAAAACACAAAAAGAACAACAACATCCTTTTGGGTCAATAAAAAAAGAAAAAAACAACAACAACAAAAACAACCAAATACCGGTTTTTAACTTATACAAAAGCACCTTTTATTTCTTGTGCTTATTTTCCCTAGCATGTCATGAATGTGACTATTTGCCTGAGGCAGGTGAGAATTCGTTCCAGTTGCAAAGGCAGTGACGCTTACATCACAACTGTGATGCCTCGAGGCATAATGGGCTCATTCCATTGCATCAACGAGTTTTTAATTCCTACTTTATCTTTCTCCCCCGGACCTCCGGAAGGAAATTTTTTCCCACTGCGACGCCTTCTTCTTATGTTACCGTGGGTGATGGATGCACCCCCGTATTCCTCATCCCACGTCCGTATTTCGCTAAAATGGATGGAGACAATGTAGACATCTAGAAATTCCTTCGTGCGCCGCGGAGCAAACCGCTTGGCAAGCCGCAGCGTCGTCTCTCGCAGTATTTCGCGGTTGTTGGTGCGGGGGGTGATTTCTTCGTACTCCTCCGTGACCCAAAAGACACGTGGAACTGTTCGCCGTGTGTCGATGGAAACACGGCCGGTTACAAAGTCGTGAAGAAGAAGATCCTTGTGTACGGAGTCAAAAATCGTCAAGACGGTATTAATGAATTGTTCCTCGGATACAATACGGCCGTACTGTGATTCCCGGCGGATTTGGGCGGCCTTGCACCGCGTTCCCTTCTGCCGAAGCGTTATGCCTATCTCATTCTCTAGCCGTATGGCACCATAGGCAATGGAGAGGAAAAAATCCATAGTCGCCGGAGCCAAACTGAAACCCATACGATCCTCCTGCGCCGATATATCGCCACACTTTTTGATGCCGTAGACACTCTTTAACAGTTCAACTTGTGCTTTTCCCAAAACGGGAATGTCACTAAGGGGAACATCCGCCAAAAATTCCTTTAAAGACTCATGAGTTGGGAGGTCATAATGCTTTAAGCTCAAAATACCTCCTGAAGCCAAAGCTGCTGGGCGTAGTGGAGGTTGATTTCGACTTGCTTCACATGCCATTTTGGCAAGAACCGGCGTGGAGGAGATGCCGCACCACGCCCCAATGCGAAGTTCATCCGCCAAAGTGCGGCTCAACATGTTCGCCACATCCACCAGCGAGTTATTCTCGGAGGGTGCGCGCTCGATGATTGGAGTGACCTCCACTGACACCTCCAGCGGCCAACGCTTGTCCACGATGATGAATCTTGTCAACATCCGCAGTTTATCTTTAACCCTCTGAAAGTCCTCTGGCGTGATTTTCCGCACCGCTCCGTTGCTGGTGGTGCCGGTTGGAGAAAAAAAGCAAAAGTGAAAAACCTTTCCCAGGGGTTGGACGCTGTACCGGTATTTCATCCGCGTGATTCGACGCATCACATCATGCTTCTTCCGATGGGGCGAGAAAACAATTGTCTTGTCCTTTGCCACAATGTTGGCGATGACGTCAGGTGGGATCGTCTCCATCAAGTGCAGGGGAAGTGCCAACTTCCCCAAATCTACCGGTTCGAGTTCCATGTCGATATCCACCCCTTCCCCGTCTACCTCCCCCTCTGCCCTCTTCCTCCTCCCCCTCCTCCTCCTCGTCATCGTCGTCGCCGTTGTCGTCGCCGCGACGGCCCCGGCATTCGTATCACCATTCAGCCGTTGGAGTCGCGGAAATGTGTGGCACACGACACAAAAACATCTGGTGCCAGTGAGAAAAAATGAATGCGACACATTTCTTCGAAGCAGACGGCACGGCAACAGAAGTCTCCAACTTCCGCCCGACACCGCCGCAATGGACGGAGCATAACGGGCACAGGACCCCAAAAGCATCCCAGAGAAAGAAATACCTCTACAGGCAAAAGCCGAAAGGCCTCGCCAAGCAATAGAAAAAAAAAAAAAAGACGACACCAACAACGAAGGGCAAACCGCAACCAAACAACCAACTAAAAAAGAAAAAAGAAAAGAAAAGAAAAAGTGTGCGCGCTTGGAAGAAAAACAAAAGCCATGAGGCTGAAGTAAACACACACACACACACACAAACGGAAAAGCAAACAAAAAAAATTAAGGAGCAAAACTCATTTAGACGCATATGTATGCATTTCCGTCGTGGTTAAACCCATTGAAGGCCCACTCACGTCCCTCACAATCTCTTAACAACAACGAGAGGGAATTTCTGATGCCACGCGACATCCTTTATCCGCCAGAATCCGTGGTAAAAGGACTACAAGGAGAAAAACATTAAAAAACAGCAGCCAGTTCAGGAAAAAGTCATCATCACCATCACCAGCGGCAGCCACAACGAAAACTGAAGGCAAATTGATAAGCGCCAAGCCAGAGAAATGCTTAAAAGAAAATAATAATAATAATAATAATAATAATAAAAGGAAAATAAAACGTAAAGTGAAGCATACAGAAGGAATTAATAATAATGATAATAATAATAAAGAATACAAATTGTACAGTACGCAGCACGCAGAACGAGCAGGCAAAAAGTCCCCGGAGAAGACCTCAAAGAAAGGCGTCATTTCCCTCCCTCCCAAGCAAGGCCAACAGAAAAAAAAAAAAAAAAAACAAAAAAAAAAAAAAAAAAAGAAACAAAAACAACAACAACAACAAAAAACGCGTGCGTTTCCACGGCCGGCAATAAAATGCATGGCTTAATTTTGTGTGTGTATATGTGGGGGAAGGGCGGGTGTGCACGGTGCACACTAACGACGTCCCAAACACAGAGAGAGAAAAAAAAAAGGGTTTTCCTCGGTGTTTACAAAGAACATGCCTAAATAGAGAAAAAAACACGATTCATGTTGCCAGATGGTGCGTTCAGCACGCGCGTATGTGAGGCTGTCTTTGGACGCCTTTCAACCGAAAGGACAGAAGCAGTGATGCGTGCAGGTGGACGCCCCTTCCTTTCCTCCACTCCGGATATAAGTTTTTTACATGAGGTTGATTGCAGTTTTCCCAGTCGCACACCCACCAGGCGAAACTTGTCAAAAGAGGTGAGATGGGGCTGGAGAAGTTTCCGCGTCGCTTCCCGGAGAGCGGCAAAATCGTTTGTCGCCTCCCCTAACGTCAGACTAAACTGATGATTTTCAAACGTACGTCGCTTCATGAGCAGTGTGACACGTTGCGCTGCCACACGCCGGAGCAGCAAGGTGTTATGCACAGCCACAAGAACTTCCAGCACAATTTGCTTCAACTCCGCCTCGCTCTTCAAACGACGCTTAAATGTGATTTCATGTCCCATCTTTTTTTGTGTCCCATCGCTTCGCATAAGGTCCGCGTTGCTCCGTACCACGCCAAGTCCTGCCGAAAGATAGAAGCGAAAGGTCTTCTCCGGAAACAAGAAACACAACAGTCCCTTTTTTCTCAGCATACATCCACATGTCCGAATGCCAAGTACGCGGAGAATTGCGTCCTGCACAGGCCCGATCCCAGGCACTGTGCGCACGGGAAGATCCTTCATGAACTCCATGACATCCTGCCGCGTCCGCAGACGGAGCTCGTGCTGGCCGTTCGGCTTCTCGTAGTTACTCGCAATCTTGGCGAGTGTCGCCGTCGGGCCAATGCCAGCACTGGCCGTCAATTGCGTCTCCGCAAACACGCGTGCACGGAACTCGGACGCAACATCCCCCGCGGTCATGCCGGGGTGCTGCTGCAGGTACGCTGTCACCTCCATTGTCAGTTCGTCAAGACCCACGCTGGTGAAGTTTGGGTCGTACGCGGCCGCAATGCCACGTACCACGGCGGCCTCTGCATGGTAGGCATCAAAGTCTGTTGGCACAATAACGAGTGACGGGCACAGTTTCACGCCAATGTACCCGGGCATCCCGGAGCGCACGCCGTAGCGCCGTGCCACATAGTTGGTTGTGGAGAGCATATCAAAGGTCCCCACGCCCAACGGGACGTCCACAAGTGAGGGATTCTTCTTCATCTCCACTGCGGCATAGAACATGTCCATGTCCACGTGCACATAGTTGCGGAAATGACGTCCTGCCTCCAGTTCCACCTCGCACATTTCTACCTTGTCCTTCAATGCCTGCTTGTCGGCGGTGGAGAGATGGCGGTACACTTCAGATTTCGATAGGAGTTCCATATGACGCTTCTTCCGTTGCGCCTCCAGTCGCTCCTCATTGAGGTAAAAGGCTGACCCTTTGGAACAACCTTCAATGACTTTGTTTACGCGTGCCTTGTTTACACCAGAGAGCCCCGCTTTGGTTGCATCGAGTGTCAGCTTGCTCGATACCTCATCAACAGCCCGTTTTTTGCCCCGTATGCGCCGATGGAATACTGCCGGGGAAACTCTCGCCCAGCAGCGCTGCATCGCCGTCACGCGCACCAATTGCCTTTTCCCTCCACCCCTCCGTGAGAAGAGAAAAACAACAACAACGGGGGCTCTTGCCGTTTTTATGGGTTAAAAAAAAGGAAAAAACAACAAAGCCAAAAGAAATAAATAAACAAGCAAAAGAGCTGCAGGGAAAAGCAAAAAAAAAAAAAAAAAGGAAAACCGTTAGTCATCATATGCAGTCAAACTTTTAGCATGATGATGATGATGATTCACCCTCCTCTCCTGGTGCGCACACAACCCCCCCGCCCTCGCGTACTGGGCTTGCTTACGGCACTACTAAGGATACCTCCCTTCGTTTTGTTTTCTTCGGCGGCTTGTCGCCATACTCACCTCACTTCTTTACAGGTGACGGGTATCACCCGCGGCAGAAGAAGGATGCCAGCACTGTTGCATCAACAGGCGTCTGAGCGTCATCACCTACACACACACAAAGACACGCGTGCAATTTTTCTCATTCTAGATTCGTGACGTGGAGGTGCGACCTGTTATGCGGCAGCGCGACTTCCTTCGAATAGACGTTACGCTACTTGTTTGTTTTTGAACACCGACTCCCCATAAGGTGGCGTATCAACCACCGGCGGAAGGACCTGCGGGGAGCTATTCAGACCCTCATTTCCCATCAAGGCAAGCCGCTCCAAAGCTGTGACGCCGCCAGAAGATGAATATTTCGTTGGTGGGAAAAAGACAAATGCCTCAATGTGATCTAATGCATCTCGAAGAAATGTAATTTCTTGCAACTGCGATTGTAAGGTTTCCTCTAAAAAAGTACAATTTGAGCGTGCTGTTATTGCTGCTTCCCTCTCATGTGCATAGTCCATTTGAACATTCCGCAACTCCAGACGAAGCGCGTCGAGCTCCATCGCACCGCGTTGCCTTTCTTTTCGCTGCTCTTCGCGTGGTGCGGGGCTCTTCAATGGAGCCTCTGCAGGAAATGCCACTGGAGGAACCACAAGTGGCACCGGTTCCTTTTCTTCTGCTTCCTCTTTGGGTCGCCTTGGCTCTTGATGCCACGGCAGTTCTTCTTCTGTTGTTTGAACAGCTGCAGAACGGCGGTAGACATCCGCCGTCTGACACGCCGCCGTCGTGACGCTGTGACTCGTCTGCGTCTCTTTATTGCATCCACCGCAGCATTTTCTTTCAATGACGGCAGCCGCCTTCTTTAGAAGCATTTGTTTCACCTTCAACCCCTCGTCCACCTCCGCCAACTTAAGCCGTCTTTTTAACTCCACCATTTCCTTCTGCGTGGATTCCAGAGCGCGTTGCCACTCACCATGAGCCTCCTCCAGCTCAGCCTCATGCTGCTCAACAAGCATCCGTTTTTTGCACTGGTAGCTCTCATAGGCATCATTTGCCTGCCGTTCAAGTGCATCGAGCAACGCTTCACGGTCTCTGTGCCACAGTTGGAAAAGCACGGTCGCGTTCCCTAAAAAAACACCATGCTGTAGCAGCATAAGGCTTTGCATGTGCTGCTGCATGGAGAACAAAAATTCTGGAACGGCAGCCACCTTCTTCTCCAATTCGTCAGCAAACGCACGTGCATCACGAAAAATGCCAAGACACTCCTCAAGGTCATTGGTGAGGGCTGCGTTTTTACGTTGAAGCGTAAGAATGGTGGAGGAGCATGTTGGTGGCTTCGTTTTTCTTGTCGACACCGCCACACCGCTTTGAGATGTACCTGCGGAGCCGTGAGTACACACGTACTTCATCGCACTGGCTGCAGCAGCGACGGCAGGCACTCACACAGTCCCTTGGCAACTCTTCAAAGAAAAACAACAACGACAAAACAACAAAACAGGCAGACAACACTAATGATGAGAATCTGACAAATACACAACGTCAAGAGAAAATAGAGAAACACAGCCGGGGTGCAATTCGCACTCGTCACCCCACAAAACAAAAAAAAATTTGCTCTGGTAACGGAAAGGGTATCCGTAACAAATATACGCGAGAGCGAATACAGCTGAGCCTCACACATTCAATCAATCACGATGATGTCGTCACCACCACTACTGTTACCTTCAGACCGCCTCAACTTCACCGGTGGACTCACACACACCACATCATCGTCACCCTCCTCATCGTACATTGCATCCCTATTCGCTGAGCAACACAACACCTCGACACCATTATTCTCATCCTTACACTTCACTTCTTCTTTTATTGGGTTTTTGGCCCCACAACTTGCCGTGCGAGAATTGGAATAGCTACGACTGCAGTACTGCAACAGAGTACGCTGCATGCCACCCCGCTGCAGAGCCTCGTACTCAGACTTTGTGATGATATCCGCCAGCCGCACACCCACCAGTCGCAAGAACGCGTATTGGTCCGCAATACGAAGCAAAAGCTCGTCAACTCCACGACGGAGAGTCTCTAAATCATCCGAGTGTTGTGGCAAATTTTTGGAGTACTGATGCACTTGAAAGCTCGCCCGCTTGGTCTTCAGGACGATTTGTCTACAAAACAATTCATTTTCCTCAAGTCGACGATGCGCCGTCTGCAGGGCTGAATGTGCAATCTGCTGCAACTCCAGGCGACTTGAGAGGTTTCTAAATGTGCGTTCCATACCGATAGACTTCCGTTCAGCCTCCGTCGTTCGCTCACTTCCATCATTCGTGTCGGCGTCCATCCAGCGCACCACGCCCATAGAAGAGCCTAAAAGAAAGCAAAATGTCTTCTCTGTCAGGATGTAGCACAGCTCAACACGCCGATCGTATATCTCCCCAAGAAGGTTGATACCAAGGCCGTGAAGGATGCTTTCTGTGGAGCGGCCAATCCCAGGCACTGTGCGCACGGGAAGATCCTTCATGAACTCCATGACATCCTGCCGCGTCCGCAGACGGAGCTCGTGCTGGCCGTTCGGCTTCTCGTAGTTACTCGCAATCTTGGCGAGTGTCGCCGTCGGGCCAATGCCAGCACTGGCCGTCAATTGCGTCTCCGCAAACACGCGTGCACGGAACTCGGACGCAACATCCCCCGCGGTCATGCCGGGGTGCTGCTGCAGGTACGCTGTCACCTCCATTGTCAGTTCGTCAAGACCCACGCTGGTGAAGTTTGGGTCGTACGCGGCCGCAATGCCACGTACCACGGCGGCCTCTGCATGGTAGGCATCTAAGTCTGTTGGCACAATAACGAGTGACGGGCACAGTTTCACGCCAATGTACCCGGGCATCCCGGAGCGCACGCCGTAGCGCCGTGCCACATAGTTGGTTGTGGAGAGCATATCAAAGGTCCCCACGCCCAACGGGACGTCCACAAGTGAGGGATTCTTCTTCATCTCCACTGCGGCATAGAACATGTCCATGTCCACGTGCACATAGTTGCGGAAATGACGTCCTGCCTCCAGTTCTTGTTCAATTTGACTAACTTTCCTCTCCCACTGCTTTCTGCATGCTGCATTCTTTTCTCCACTCATGTATTGTGCGAATTGCGCTGAATTCTGACGCAACTGCAGCACGTGTTTCTGCCGGATCTCAGCCTTTCGCCGCTCGTTTATGTAATAATTGGAACCTTTCGATGCCTCTTGGATGATAGCTGTCGTCTTGTTCGCATCCGCCGAATCCAAACCAGCCTTGTTGCTGTCAAACTGTAGTTGAAACTCAGGCAGCGGTTGGGCTAGCGGAATAATACGAGTGGCCGCAGTGTGAGTATCACATGGTTTCTTGCCGTCCATCTCAACCATCTGGAACTTGTCACCTGCCGTCTTGTCATTTTCTGCTCCATCCAACACCATCACCATCTCCTTTTGAAGGCAGTTTTTTACCACACTCATTTGGGGTTCGCCTGCGGGCATCGCAAACGTGATTGAGCAAACTGAAGACCCGCCCCGCTGCAGTGCCACGCAGCAGATATAAAACCTCTCACGGTTGCCGGCCTGCGTCACGTCTTCTCCCGTCTTTGGTCTCCACGCAGCCCCTTGACGCAATTCCTAAAAAAAAAAAAAAAGGAAAAAGAAAAAGAACAAAAAGCAAAAAAAATTAACAAAATAATGAGACAAGGCGTGTGTGCCATTGAAACGACGTCCCTCCTTGTCACTCGCCCAGCCAATTCCCCGTCTGCATGATGCAATCAAACGTATACCCACACCACATAGAGAAAAACCCCCTATAAAAAAAAGAAGGGACAGCCAAACAACTAGAAACAAACACACAGAGGAAATACAGCGTGTATGCGTATGTAGCCAGACCCTGATTTATTATTATTATTATTATTTATCTTGGCGCGGTTAGTGTTTTTTTCCGGTTTTCGTTTTCTCCATCTTTCTGCCTCCCTCTCCCTCCCACTCTCTCTTCTTTTTTTTTTTTTTTTTAATGAGCCGCCTGCCTGAGTGAGTGTGTGATGAGTCGTGCATGAAGGTGGTTCACACGCACACGTACCGCGGCACCATTGGGATTGAGCGAAGAGGCAGACAGGCAGGCGGAGGGGGAGAGGGGAAGGGAAGGATGGTTTGGAAACAAAAACGAAAACGAAAAAAACAACCAAAAAAAAAAAAGGAAAAAAAAAATAATAAAAATAAAAGTCAAAATAAAAATGGAAGTAAAAAACAATTTGGGGTTGGTTGGTTGGTTAGGGGTCTGTTATTCGTGGGTGCCCCGTACTGGTCTGGCGGGTGGACGGAGCCGTGCGCCAGACAAAATAAAAATAAAAATAAACAGACAAATTTGGGAGGTGGGCGGGCGGGGGGGATTTAAAAAAAAACAAAAAAATTAAATTGAACGATTCCCTCCTTCCCAAAAAAAAAAAAAAAAAAAAAAAAAAAAAAAAAAAACCAACAAATCACAAGGAGAGAAAACAAAAACAAAACAAAACAAAACAAAAGGGAGGGAAGTGTTTATGGATCGGCGGCCAAAACAACTAAATAAAAAAAGAGGGAAGACAAACAAACAAACAAACAAACAAACAAAAAAAGGAAGGTGAAACGCAACGGCAAGACGCAACGAATAAAACAATGCTCATAGCCTGCGAATCACGAATGAATAAAGGGAAATAGGGGTGGGTGGGGACGGAAGGAAAAGCCAAAGGAAAAGAATAAAGCATCTTCCTCCTTCTGCTGCTGGCGCCGCAAAACACACACACACAAAGAGATAAAAAGACACACACAACTCCCCTCTCCTTCCCCCCCCCCCCCCGTTTCGATCGTTTTCTTTTCTCTTTTTTTTTTTTTTAATTATTATTCTTCTCCTTTATTCTCTCATTTCTTCCCTCTGCCTCCTCCAAAAGGTTTCCCCCCTCTAATATGCATATGTGTATGTATACATGTGCATATAATGTATATAATGTAATGTACTTTTTTACTTCTTTTTTATATTTATTTTATTTTTACTCATGTAATCCCTTTTTTCCCGCTTTTTTCCCACCCCTAGCGGCATGTGACTTCTTTTCGTTCGTGATTGTTATCTCTCTTTTTTTTTTTTTTTTTTTTCCCCACCACCACTTATTTATTTTTTTTTTTTTCTTCTTTCTTTTCCTTTGCCTCTTCTTGTGTCACAAGAAAAGCATCTCAGTCAGAAACAAACAAACACACATAAATAAATTGGAAAAAAAAAAAAAAAAAGAAAGAATGCATCATTGCTGCTGCGATAGTTGTTGGGAAGTAGCGGGGAGAAAGTCCGTGCGTAAAAGGACATCGCCCTGATAGACCGGTGACACCATAGGGCTGTCACTGTTATTTGCGTCCATTGGTAGAATGCCCATCTTGGAGCAGGAATATTGCGACGCACCTCCAAAGAGCCGACTTTTACTTTCCGTGAGGCTACCCAATGAATGCTGCCGTGTTGACGTCTCCGTTGGTACCGTGCTGGCAAAAGAGTCCATAGCCGAGGAAGCATGAGAATGACGCCCCTGTGCTGTACCCAAGGACTTTATGGGAGACATTGGACCTGCCGCAACATTTGTCCCAAAGAAACACGGCATTCCTATCAGAGGGGTAATGGCACGTTGCTTTGGCGTACTGTGCGGGGTAACAATGATGTTGTGCCGGGCATCGTGATGGAAACGACATGCGCTCCCACGGTTACAGCAGCCTTCAGCGTAGTGTCGACATGGATTAAGAAGCCTCTGCGAGTTTGTGTCGTTGTTTTGGAATGAGTCATCGTATGGGTTGTGTGCATATGTCCATACCTCTCCACCAGAAGGCTTGCGAACGAGCCACATGCTCTTCGACGATCCAGAAAGAGGAGACTTGCCCCTCGACATCTCTGTTCTTTTTGCCTTCGTTTTTCCGGTTTCCGTGCAAATTCCCGCCGCTTTTTTTTTTTTTTTCCTTTTCTCCTTTTCCTCCTCCAAATTTCCCCTCTTTGCTTCACACAGACAGACAGACAAGCCTATTCCTTCAACGCGGGTTCCCCTTTTTAAATTCTCCGGTTGTATTCCCCGGCTGCTCGGTGCAATAACTTCGGCCCTCCCTCTTTCTTTCTTTCTTTCCGTGTCGCTTACGCAACAAAACACCGCTTTTCTTCCCTTCAATTTTTTTGCCACTTTTTTTGTTTTTACTTCTTTTTCCCTCTAACGCTCAATTTTGCTTTCGTTCCGCACACGTTAGTCAAACAAACGACAGAACACAAAAGAAAACGAAAAAGAAAAAAAAAAAATAACAATGAGTTACGGCAAGACATCTCACACCTACGGACATCGTGTGTGTACCAAAAACAACAACAACAACAAGGGCCAGTAGCGTATACGCCACGAAATAAATAAATATAGAGCAGCAACCCCCCTCCACTCTCCCACTCCCACCCCTTTTTTTTTTAAAACCATATGACCAAAGCCCAAACCTCGGTTTTTAATTAGGAAGATCAAAGACGGCACGCAGCTTTCGTGCAACACCGTCTTCCGTGTTACATCCTATTACTTCAAGGTGCGGCAATGCTTCTTTCAGCCGGGATTGCGCATTCCCCATCACACAACCCTTCCCAGCCATTTGCAGCATCTTGAGGTCATTCATTCCATCGCCAAAGGCTATTATTTCTTGTGCGCTAATGCCCAGCAGCTGGGCCACCTCGCACATGGCATTACCCTTGTTGACGCCCCACCGCACTGTGTCGAGAACAAGGGGATGTGACATGCTGTGTTCCACTTTGCCTTGGAAGCGTGACTCCAGAACCTTCTCCACACGTAGTAGCACTTCGTGTTTTCCAGAAAAGAAAACAGCATGTACCCCATCATGTGGACACGTGTTGAGATCCATTTCCTTGTAGCGGAAACCGGAGCCCGCGTACGCTGCAAGCATCCTCTCCGAGCCCCGATTTGTCAGCCACTCCTCGTGTCGATAGAAGTTGGTTGTGAATAATGAATCTTCCGCGTCTTGGTTTTCATCGTCAAGTTTAATGTTGATAAGTTCCGAAACGACATCGGGATCCACATCATGCGTGACAATTGCACGTCGCTGCGGATCAAACACCCTCGCTCCGTTGCTGGTAATAAGGTAGCCACCATGCAAGTCGCACTTTTCGACGGTATGAAACACATCGAAATAGGCACGACCGGTGGCAAAAATAATCGCAATGCCTTTACTTTTCAGCAGCCGCAGCGTCTCCGCCGTGTACTCGGAGATGCTGTGATGCTCGTTCAAAAGTGTGCCGTCAAGGTCTGTGACCACCGCAAGATACGTCATGGAGGAAGGATGACCGTATTTACTTATAAAATGCAAAAATCCTTCCTTGATAACTTTAATGTCCCCTCCAAATAGTTGTGAATCCAATGGCTGTTGGTAGCTCATAAGCCCAATATATATATATATATATACAAAAAGAGAAGGTCGACAGAAAGAAGGAATTGAAAGAAAAAAAAAAGGAGGTGCACCGGCACGCCTGCGACGGAGATTTACGTAATGCCTTCACTCCCCCTTTGCCACTCACTGGCATCCACCGTGTTTTTGGCAAAGACACAACAACGCGCGAAAGGAGCAACAACCCCCTAACCCCCCCAGCCTAGGAAACTCTTAAATTTGTGAGAGGCCTCAAGAGGGATACAATACACATAAGAAAGAAACAATGCATCACTAATATTGACTGTGGCGAGGCAAGGATACTGGCAAAACATGCACACAGTGGTACTCTAATGCCTGCTCAGGATTGCCTATTTCCTCCCCACGCTCACTGCCCCTCCAGAAGATAAAAAGATAAGCATTTAATCCCTGTAAGAGCAAAAGAAAACAAAATCCACCACTTTATCAAACAAAAAACAAAAGAATCGGTATCAAAAAAACAACAAAAATACAGCATTACATCGCTGTCTTCCTATAAGCGGTATTTCACACTACTTCCTTCATATATGAATGCTGATACCCTTCACAAGACCTTTTGCTTTGGACACCGCTCCCCTTGAGGTCCTTTCCGCACGGACTCCAGTAGAAGCAGCATTATGAGGGGCGGTAGCGTCAGCATTAGCGTGGACGCTCTTGGGCATCATCTTTATAGATTCTGGTGGAGTGGGAGGTTTGGTTTGTTCGGGAGATCGTTTCGGGCTGGGTACAGTCTTTGTTTGCTGTGCGTTTAATTTTTGATTGCCCATGGGTATCTTTGCCTCCGCATAATTTTTCCTTGGCCGACCCACACGTCTGACAGCGGCAGGAGGAACCGCAACGCGCACATTCGTACCATGCTGGGGTGGTTCCGTCTCTGTGGCCTCCAAAGCCTCGGCGGTTCCCTCCTGCTGTTCCTTTTCTGCCGGGTGATACTTCTTGCAACGAAGGACGAGATGAAACACCGCCGTGTCGCATCGACCCAACTCACGCCGCACATTTCTAGCGGAGTCGGCAGGAACGCCGTTCACAGACGCAATGAGTACGGAGTTGACGTAAGGGAGGGCGTCCTTGGTAAGGAATTGTTTGGCCACCACCGACCCATACAAGGCCTCCTTCGGCAGCGGGTCAAGGTAGATCAGTTTCTTTCGTTGATGGATGCTTAGTTCCCATGGTTTACTTGTGGAGGAACGGCTGACGCTAAGCGTCGCACACGGCTCCACCTTGTTTCTGCCGACAAACTCATTCAGTGTGAATGACAGGAACGTAAAAGGCTGCCCAATGTGCTTTATGCGGGTTAAAAACATGGACGCCACTGCCCTGATCGCGGCTGCAGCGTGTGTTCGTGTATGCGAATTGCAAGAATGTCGGTAGTTAAGTGAGTTTGCTTCTCACTTGGAAACACACTGCATGCAGGGAAAAGAGCGAAGGATACAAGACAAACAAACAAACAAACAAACCAAAAAAAAAAAAAAACTGATGGAGAAAAACCAGGCCTCAGTAAAGGGAAATGTAATAAATAAATAAATCGTCACGGTCATTCAGTAACAACTTTCAGATGCAACAAGCAAACAGTAAACAAAAAGAAAACTCATTCCGGAATATATTCCTCGTCCTCGTCCTCCCCACTATTGTCCGTATCGCCATCACTCTTATTCTTATTACGAGAGGATGATTCCGACATTCCCCTGCCCTCCGCGCCACTGGCACTCTCGGAGCAGTGACGTTTTGCCACAGGCGCTACAAAAGCCTCATTCCGCTCCAACGCCTCTCGGAGGGCAGTCACCCTTGAGGAGAAATTCACACTATGCCTCGTGTCATACGCCGCACGACGCTCCGGGTCGGAAAGAACCATGTACGCCTCAGTGATGCGCTGATAGCGCTGCTGCACCTGGGCCTCATTCGTCGTTTCCGTATCCTTTCGGTACGCCACACGGTCCGGGTGCAACTTCAGTGATAACCTCTTGAACTGTCGAGTCAATTCTGCCTGACTAACGTTCACCGGCACGCCCAACACGGAGTACAACGGCGGCGGGGAGGATGACACACGACCAGGCAGGGAATCCATGTTGTCACGTCCCCCTCCCTCTAAAAGCCAAAGAAAACAAAAAAAAAAAAAAAAGAAGGAAGGGGCTATGAAATGCCAATAAGCGCCGGTACTACCATACATATTTACTTGTGGGTAGATGATTGTGTCATCAACGATGTAAATGCAGAGGCCACACCTCCATAAATGGCAGCAAAATACAAATACGATGGAAAAAAGAGAAGAATAATAGCAACAACAACAACAACAAAATGCATGCGTACATATCCGAATCCAAGTAATGATGGTTTACAACAGAGAACAAGAGACTACAGTGCGGAAAAACCAAATAGAGTGAGAATGACGTCGCCTGGAAGAAACTCCGAGAGGTCCGAAACCATGACTTTTCGAATGTCCAACTCACCCTTCACTCTTTCACGGCAGCCACAGCAGGCCGGCGTATTTGTTCCCGACTTCGTGGAACATAAAGGGACACACAGCGCCTCCTGAAAAAGAACCCGACGTTCCCACAGGCACTGTGAGACTACAACTTCCCGCGCCTGCTGCTGTTCCTCCATGAGACGACAGCTCGCGTCTTGAAGCTTTTTCTTCTGGACTTTCCCGTACATTGTGTCACCGTACTCGACCAGCCAAGTGTGTGCGGTAGCGGGAGTGAAGATACATGCCGCCTCTTCATTCACAATACGCAGTCGCATTTGTTCTTCTTCCTCTACCAACAACCGCACCTCATGCTGGAGCATCCATCGCCGCACCACGTACTTCTCCCCATCTCTGCAGAAAATGGCAAAAAACATCAAACGATTCATTGTTCGCAACTTCTTCTCAAACAGCATGATCCCCCCTCGATGATACCGCTCATATTCCACCAAAAGTTGAATGGTCACTCGCAGCCGTGTGCTTTGAAGTTCTCGCTCACGATCCGCCAACTGGGCTTGCATCAGTGTGCGAGAACGACACAAAAACTCATCCGGTTGAATATCTTTTTCCAATGCCTCGGTTTCAGTTCGACAAATAATCTGCCGTTCATGAGCCTCCACATCCATCACCACCTTCTGCATAAGCAGTTCCTCCTCTGCAGCAACAGCATGTCGACAAAGACCTTCATATGTATACATGAGGAAACAAAACTCCACAAATTCATGCTTCGTAATTTCTGCCCGCGTGCCTCTCTCCACACCAACGTTCTTTACAATAGTTAGATATGTAAAGTATGGAAAAATAAGAGACCCCTTCAAATCTACCATACGACGCAGGTATTGACGCCTCATTTCAAGGGATTTCTCTCTTGTGGTCTTCACTTGTGGACGATGAGGCTTCTGGAGGATGGTGTATGCATTTTTCCCTTTCGCCAGCTTCACGCAAAACGCATGATATTCCATGAGCGTTTCAAAACGTTCCGCCTCATTCCTTCTAATTTGTTGAATTCCAGCAAACGCTGAAACACACAGTCTATGTTTCCGATGACAGACAGACAACTCCTCCTCCCGCTCGACAAGCAAGGAGTCCTGTAGAGAGGCATTTTCCCCAACCACGATGGATACAAAGAGACACAAAAGGTTCACCTCCGGCTCCAAAGGTACCGCCGACTCCTCAAGGACTTCCAAATCCCAAAGAAGATGCTTACATGGTAAAGGGGCTCTGCAAGATACATATTCGCTAAGGAAAGATAATCTGGCAAGCTTCTCTTCTCGAATGACCTCAGTCAACTGACGCCACACCTCCAGCCGCTGCAAGAATTCCTTCCAGATCATCACCTTCCCTTGCAGTAGCTCCTGAAAGATCCCCACCTTTCTCCAAAGAAAGGACCATGGCTCAACTATGTCACGCTCACGACAGGCAGATTCCTCCTCTTCTAGACGCTTCAGCGACGCGTTTTCACTGTGAATGCGTTGAAAAACCCCCGTGAAAGACTTTTTCACCGTGGTCACCAACTCCTCCTCAGTGGTGATGATAGGTGGATCTCGCGTAAACCTCCAAGGGGGCCAAGAGCCCTCAACTTTCTCATCGCCGTAGTACTGTACAGGTGACATTGCAAGTGAGGTCGACACAATGAGAGCACGCTCCTGTTTTTCTTGATACATGAGCCAATGTAACGCACGCTGAAGCGACGCCATCGACCTTTGCTGACACGTTGCCCTTCCTTCAGATCCTGCTGTCAACCCCATGAGCGCAGCACGGTGCAATGGTGCATACTTACCGCAGAGCAAAGAAAAGTCACGCGACAACGTCTTATCACTACCGGCGATGCCGGGCAATTTTGGGCGGAATGCAACACTTGTTTTCTGTGCAGCCAGCGGTTCATACCGCGTTGTTGTCCGCTGCTGCTGTGGGAGCAAAGGTAGTAGACTCATGTGTTTCTCCCCCTTTTGCAGCAGCTTCCGGTACCCTCACAAGGAGGAGACAACAAAAGCAACAGCGGGTGCCACGCAGAAAAGGGGGGTGAAAACAGAGAGAGAGAGGAGGAAGAAGACCGGCATCAGTATTCACATCATGCAAAAAGGGAATGAGAGAAAGAGAGAGAGCACACAACAGCCGCCTCTAATTCATGTTTGACCACCTTCCCGCCCACCTCTTGCAATCCCCCTGATGATACAAGCAACAACGTGTGCCAAACGGGCCTAAAAGATACAAACTTCCTTTGGTATAAATATCTATATATATATATATATATATATATATATATCTTCTATTTCAATTTTTCTCAATATCTTTTTCCTTCATTTTGTTTATTTCTGTCCTCCTTCCAGCGCATATATTCGCACCGCCAATGCACATGTTGCCTCCCACAGTGCGGTCATCATGAGACTGAAACCCTCCACTACATGGGTATAAATATAAATATACAAATATTTAAATATAAGCCAAGACATCAGATCACTTCCACACATACACAGAAAGATAGACAAACAGACAGGCAAATGTACAAAAACAAGCCCATTTTATTCATTACAAAACGTTATTATATTTACTAATGACAGTAGTGAGACTAAAAACAGTTATGATGACATAAATGCATGCATACGCGTGTGCATGCTCCTTTCGTCCTCACCTCTCTCCGTACATTATATATATTTATATATAAACAACAACGAAAGAAAAAAAAAACGGAGGACAGAAATACTCGTCCTAATGAGTTCATATATTTATATTTAAATATAAATATAAATTGCCACATGTTCACTACGTAACAAAACTTTTCACCGGCGTGATTGTTTGAGAGTTGCTTGACGCATATTTCTTTCCGTCTACCCCTTCCTTACGTATCAATAGGACGTGGTAAACCGAACATGAAGAGAAGCTCGTCAAGAAGGCAGCAGACATACACACACACACACACATATATATATATATATATATAAATATAAATAAATATATATTTAAACATACACGTGGGGTATAATAATAATAATAATTATAATTATAATATCGACGTGAAAGGAGGGGAGGGGGGAAAGGAGGTATTCGGTTTAGTCAACGGAAAAGCCAACAAACAAACCCCCCCCCCCCCCAAAAAAAAAAAAAAAAAAAAAAAAAAAAAAAAAAAAAAAAAAACCCCAACCAACCAAACAAAAAAATAAAGGGCAAAAAAAAAATGAAAACAAACCCAAAAAAAGGGAAAAAAAAAAAAAAAAGAAGGAA